GAATGAAAACAGTACAGAGAAACGGATGGAGGAAGAAGTAAAGGAAAGAGTGAAGGAAAATGAGAAGAGTGGAAGCAAAGGAGACGAGGAAGAATGAGAATGAGAGGAGAAGGGAGAATGGTAAGGGAAAAGGGAAGACGAGGAGGGGGAGAGCAACAAAAAAGGAAATATAATAAGAAAGAAAACCAAGAAAATGAAGAGCTAGAAGAACAGAGGAGGAAGAAAAAAAAATAAAGTAAAGAATACAAGGAATAGGAAAAAAATGCGAATACCAGGGTAAAAAGGAGAGAAGGAAAGTGACGATGATATCAAAATTTATATAAAATGTAAGAAACAAATACAAAGAACAGAATAACAAATGAGTAAGAAACAAACAGGCAGATAAAACAGAAACAGAGAGAGTGAGTGAGAGGAGCCAGCTGGTCGAAGAGAAAGATAGAGAGATTAGATAGATAGATAGATAGATAGATAGAGAGGGAAGGGAAGAGAGAGAAGAGAGAGAGAGGGAGAGAGAGATAGATTAATAGATGGATGGATAAATAGACAGAAAGAGAGGGGGGAGGAGAGAGAAAGAGAGAGAGTCAGAGAGAGAGTCAGAGAGTGAGAGATGAATTAATAGATGGATGGATAAATAGACAGAAAGAGAGGGGGGGGGAGAAAGAGAGAGGGTGCGAGAGACAGACAGAGAGAGAGAGAGGGAGGGAGGGAGGGAGAGAGAGAGAGGGGGGGAGGGAGGAAGGGAGAGAGAGAGAGAGAGAGAGAGAGAGAGAGAGAGAGAGAGAGAGAAGTGTGCTTCTGACCTCATGGATCAGAAAGGTCACATCTTCATGACTTTACGCTTCTGGCCCCTTGCCACGCTTGCCCACGCTCTTGCGCGCCCGCACACGCCCATGCTCTTGCTCCTCCACTTCAAAGGGACCAATTAGCCCCTCCGCTTCCCTTCCCTCTTCGCCTTCCCCCCTTCACATCTCTCTTTGTCTCTGTCTGTCTGTCTGTCTGTCTCTCTCTCTCTCTCTCTCTCTCTCTCTCTCTCTCTCTCTCTCTCTCGGTCTCTCTCTCTCTCTCTCTCTCTCCTCTCTCTCTCTCCTCTCTCTCTTCTATCTATCTATCTGTCTTTAACCATCTGCTTCTTCGCCCTCCCTCCTCTTTCTTTATCCTCCACCCTCTGTCTTCCTCCTCCATTTCCTCTTTCACCCCTCACCCTCTGCCCCTCCCTCCCTCCCACCCTCCCTCCCTCCTCTCCCTCCTCTCCTCCTCTTTCTCCATCCTTCCCCCTCTCTCCTTCTCTCCTGCATCTCCTCTTTCACCCTCCCACCCTCTCTCCCTCCCCCCTCCCCTCCCTCCTCTATCTCACTCCCTCCCTCCCTCCCTCCCTCCCTCCTCCCTTCCTCTCTTCCATCCTCCCTCCCTCCTCCTCTCCCTCCCCTCCTCCCCTCCTCTCCCTCCTCTTTTTCCCTCCTCTCCCCCTCTCTCCTTCTCCTCCCTCACCCTCCCTCTCATCCTCCCTCCCTGACACCCTCCCTCCCTCCACATCCTTTTTATCTCCCTCCCTCCCTCCTCCCTTCCTTCCTCCCTCCCTCCTTCCCTCCCTCCTTCCCTCCCTCCTCTTTTTCCCTCCTCTCCCCCTCTCTCCTTCTCCTCCCTCACCCTCCCTCTCTCCCTCCACACCCTTTTTATCTCCCTCCGTCACACTCTCGTCTCACCCTCACCTTCCCGTCACGCAACCTAGCCGGAGTCCGTCAGTAAGAAACGACAAGAAACTGGATCATTGCAAGGAAAGCATTTAAGACGCTGGAGGGCTGGATTGGGGTATGGTGGGGGGGTGGGTAGGGGGGGTGAGGGGGAGGGAAGGAAGGTGTGGGGAAGGAGGAGGAGGAAGGGAGAGGGAGGGATGGGGGAGGGATGGGGAGGGAGAAGGAGAAGGAGAGAGGGATGGGGGAGGGAGAGGAAGAGGGAGGGAGAGAGGGATGGGGGAGGGGTAAGGTTGAGGGAGGAGGAGGAGGAGGAGGAGGAGGAGAAGGAGGAGGAGTAGGAGGAGAACGAGGAGGTGGAGGAGGAGGAGGAGGAGGAGGAGAACGAGGAGGAGGAGAAGTGGAATGGATGGAAGGGGGGGTGGGGAGATGACCCGAGGTGGAAGGAGACGTGGAGGGAGGACGGAGGGTGGAAGTGCGGCTGCGGGGGGGGGGGGGGGAGGTTTGAAGAAGGAGGGCACTTAAGGGTGTGGTTGTGTGGTGAGGTGGTGTGGATGGGGGTGATGATAGGGGTGAGAGTGGAGTGGGGGGGGGGAGGAGTAAAAGGAGGATAGGAGGAGAGGAGGAAAGGGAGAACGAGAGGAAGAGAAAGGGCAGCTTATGAAACGAAGAGGAAGAAGAAGAAAGAGGATGAGAAACACGGGAAATACAATAAACCATGACATAACAGTGACACCAATAACAAGAGGAAATGAAAATAAAAGAGAAACCAAAAAAAAAACAATAATTAAAAAAAATATAAATAAACAAATAAATAAATAAATAAATAAAGGATCCGGGTCCACTGAAAATTAACAAACGCCCCCAAAACCCTTAAAACGCCCACCCTCAAAAAAAATAAAATAAAAAAAATAAAAAAGTCTCCCTTCTAGCCCCCCCCCCCCTCAAAAAAAAACGAAAAAAAAAAGAAAACGGGAGAGCCGGCAAAGAGAGCAAATCCAGCTCCTTGAGATCGAGTACACGTGAGATGATACAAAGAATCAACCCAGGATGCTGAAAGGGGGGGGAAAAAATGAGTATCGGGGAAGAAAACCGGTTCGTTGGATCGACGGCGGGTGGGTCCCAGTGTGGGTGAAAAGACTACAAGTATGGATGGAATCGCAGAAGATACCTCGACGAGTGAGAGATAAAAAATAAAAAAAATGGAGATCGACTCAGACGGTGGAGTAGAGGAAGGAGAGAGAGAGAGAGAGAGAGAGAGAGAGAGAGAGAGAGAGAGAGAGAGAGAGAGAGAGAGAGAGAGAGAGAGAGAGAGGTAGAGAGAGAGAGAGAGAGAGAGAGAGAGAGAGAGAGAGAGAGAGAGAGAGAGAGGTAGAAAGAGAGAGAGAGAGAGAGAGAGAGAGAGAGAGAGAGAGAGAGAGAGAGAGAGAGAGAGAGAGAGAGAGAGGGAGATGGAGGATAGGACGAGGAACTATCAGTTTATCTGTTTGATCTACCGAGTTTCAGGAATAGTAGATAGGTGTAGATAGTAAATGAGGAAATAACGATAAAGGTAGAGAGCAGAAGTAGCGATGAATAGAAGAGAGGCGGCAGATGGCAGATAGATCGAAGTATAATCCTATGCAGCAGGTGACGGATTAAACAACGAATGGCAAACGAAGAAATATAAAACAATAACAAAAGATAAAGAAGCGTATAAAAGGAACCATAAAAATCCCCGAATAAAACAGAGAGAGCATCAAACAACAAACGAAAGAAGAGAGACGTTACGTAAAAGTGAATAGCAGACAGCAATAAAGGAAGGTGTGACTAGAAAATACAAGAGAGACGAACTTGGGGATATTAGATTTTGCAGATAATTTTAATGATGTACAACTCATTGCAAAAGAGGCTGGGTTACGTGGTGGTAATTGCCGTGTTACAAGAATACTTAAGAGCTTAATAATCATTATCGTGCAATAGGAAACAATTAGCTCGTAGTACTTGCGGCTGTCCGGAGTATATTTTAATAGGGAAATGAGGCGATAAAGTGTTCATTTTTGGAGTCACACTAGATGTCTTCGTAATTGCTGTATGTTAGAGGTTTTGTCTCCCTGCGTGTACTTTGAGGATACGACTTTTCACAAGTTTCAGCTCTAATTTATTCATCTTTCATTGTACATCATCAATTTTTTTAACTTTCTTTCTTCTCCGCTTACCCATTATCTTTCTTTTCTTTTCTTTCTTATCCCTCTTATGACTATTTTATCTTCTTCATCTGTTCATCTGTTTTTCATATTTTTTTTTAGCCTTGCAATCACCGTCGGTAAAATTATTGCAAATTCAGCGGGCATAAGTAGCCCAAGGAAATCGCGTATGACGTTCAGATATTATGTAAAATGTCTAGAGTCACTGGATTATCAAAAAAAAAAAAAAAAAAAAACGAAAGAGAAACAGAATAAAGAAAAAGAAAAAGCCTCTAGTTTAGAAAGTAGATTAGAATTTCTGCTACACTTAGATAATTCCGTCTTTTATACTATCATGACACGAGTGGTTGCTTTGCAATTGCAACATTGAATGGCGTAGTCATTTGTTTAAGTTCAAACTCGTTGCAAGTTTATTTTGATCCAATTGTTTTTATGTGTATTTATATTTTTTTCTCGTTTCTCTTTATCTTTATCTTCTTCTTCTTCTTCATTTTCTTCTTCTTTTTCTTCTCCTTCTCCCCCCTCTCTCTGTATATCTACTTATTTGTCTATCTGTCCTTCTCTGTTCAATCTCTCTCTTCATCTATGTCTCTATCTATCTATCTATCTATCTATCTATCTATCTATCTATCTCTCTCTCTCTCTCTCTATCTGTCTTTCTCATCTCAATCTCTCTCTCTCTCTCTCTCTCTCTCTCTCTCTCTCTCTCTCTCTCTCTCTCTCTCTCTCTCTCTCTCTCTCTCTCTCTCTCTCTCTCTCTCTCTCTTCTCTCTCTCTCTCTCTCTCTCTCTCTCTCTCTCTCTTCTCTCTCTCTCTCTCTCTCTCTCTCTCTCTCTCTCTCTCTCTCTCTCTCTCTCTCTCTCTCTCTCTCTCTCCCTCTCTCCCTCTCGCCCTCTCTCCCTCTCTCCCCCCTTCCTCCTTCTCTCCTTCCTTCCCTCCCTCCCTCCTTCACTCTCTCTTCTCTCTCTCTCACTCTCACTCTCTCTCTATCCCTCTCTCTCTCCCTCCTCCCTCCCTCCCTCCCTCCTCCCTCCCTCCTCCCTCCCTCCCTCCTCCCTCTCCCTCTCTCCCTCTCCCTCTCCTGTTCCCTCGTTCTGTTTATCTCGCTGTGTGGGCGGAGGAGATGCGGCGGTCGGTGTGGGCGGAGGAAGGACTGGATGGTGCGGGTGTGGGCGGAGGAAG